TGTGTGTGTGTGTGTGTGTGTGTGTGTGTGTGTGTGTGTGTGTGTGTATTGGCAGGGGACAGTGTTTTCTTTGAGCTGTTTTAAAAATCTGGTCTGAAATACACAAAATGTATGATTTTTTTTTTTTACCATTTGGAAACACTTCCTTCCCTTAAGCTATAGGGCAGAGGTCCTCATCCATTTTATGCTGAGGGCCTAAAGTACAAATCATTTGAAGCCATTTAAAGGAGTCAGATGCAGGGTCCCAGTATACATACAGTCTTTGTTGAGACTTGGAAAATTCCATTTGATAACATGAAAGCTGCAATACAGAGATAAGAAAGGAAAGGAACCCAGATTATCATTCTGCATTTTTACATGGCATCCTCTATTCCTGAGATATATTCCTTATGATAATAGGATCACAGATTTAGAGACATAAGGGGCCTCTGAGGGCATCTAGTCCAACCTCTTCATTTTAACAGTTGAGGAAATTGAAACCCAGTGAGCTTAAATGGCCCCAAAAGATAGAGCAAGATAAATTCACCCTTCTTTCCACTATACCATGCTACTTCTCTGCCTTTCAGTTGTTCTATTCCTTCAAGGCTCAACTCAAGCACTACCTCCACTTCAATGATCCTGTCAGTTGACAAGACTGTTGTCTCCTCGCAGTTTTCTAGAGCACTTTGGATCTCTTCTTTGCCCCCATCACACACACACATTTCTAGTATATATCTTTGTTTATGTCTGATTCCTCCAGTACAGTGTAAACTAATTTGGAGTAGGGTTGGTCATTTTTTTTCCTCCAGTAGAATGTAAACTTCTTTGGGAGTAGGGTTGTTCATTTTTTAACCTTTGTATCCCTGCTACTTAGCATAGCGCTTTATAATTGTTGGTTGAATTTGAGATCAAATTGTAGATAAGGGTTCAACTATGACTCCTAAAGCAATTGTTCGCTAAGAATAACTAGGTGTCTGATATGATTTAGCTTATAATATAGAAGAGTTCATCTTTGAAACCTCTTAATACTATCTTTTCACACTTCATGCTTTTTGCTACATATACTTGTTACCTATTTGAAGTCAGAGTTATGAGAATGAGGGAAAAACATCATGATAGGAGTACTTTATCAGGAATTAACAGGCCCAGATTCTTTCCTGATTTTGCTACCTTCTCCCTATGTAAATGTGGGCCTCAGTTCTTTTAGCTATATAATGAGTGTACTTGGACTATATCATCTGAACAATCCTTTTAAGCTCTAATATTCTATAATTTAATTCTAATGTATAATAATAACTCCATGTTATCACAGGGTTTTATCTGAAGCAGTGACCCTACTTAGAATCAAAACTTCTTCTTATAGGTGTCAGCTTTAATTAACTGATTATCTGGGACTAACAATAGCTAGATTTTGTTTTCTAGATTTTAGGGAGAGATTTTTAATTGAACCTGCTTTGCTCCTACCTTTTCTGGGAAAGGTCAAAGTCCAAGAAGGACAAGAAAGTACTAAAGAAAGAATCATGAACATCTTTCTTTTCTAGAAACAGCTCTTGATGAGAAATGCCATAAAAAATTTTAGAGCATACAGAAGAATAAAAATAAAAGGAATAAGAAGCCATAAATTAGATGGGAAGAATTATGGGTATAAAAGGAATCTGGTAATTTTGAGGAGATAAATTGTATTTACGCATATACATGACATTTGTGGCTTTTTGTTTTCTGAAAAACAGGTCTTTTTAAGGTGATCTTGTTTTCATATCACTTCGGATAGATGTCTAGTACTCAACATTCCAGTGAAACACTTGTTTGATTTAGCAATAGTTTTCTTCCCATTTTTTGGTTGAAATACATAGTAACAGTTTACTTTAGTACATTAAAGTTTACAAAATGCTTTACATATTCATTATCTTATTAGTTTCTCAAAGCAATTCCATGAGATAGTTGGCACAAGTAATATTAGCGATTTTATAGATGAAGAAAATGAGGCTGAGGGCAAACCATCTAAATCACACAGTAAAGTGGCAAAACTTCAATTTGAAACCAGACTTCTGACTTTTTTTTCTTTGTATATGTTGCTCTTCCAAGTCTTTTTTTCTTCTTTTTTTTTTTTTTTGGAGGCGGGGGTTAGGCGATGGGGTTAAGTGACTTGCCCAAGGTCACACAGCTGGTAAGTGTCAAGTGTCTGAGGCCAGATTTGAATTCAGGTTCTCCTGACTCCAGGGCCAGTGCTCTATCCACTGCGCCACCTAGCTGCCCCCTACTCTTCCAAGTGTTAAAATTTTATTTGTTGCTAGCGAAAATTTGCACCAGATATTTCCAGAACTGTGGTGGCAGATTTCAGTTGATTAAAATCACTCTCTTAAGTCTCTTTTCTTATCTGTTAAATGAGGGAAGTTGGACAAGATTATCTCTAAAATTCATTCTGTTTCAAAATGCAATAATTCTTTGATATTTTAATGGTCCTTATCATCCTCTTTACAAACTGTTATTTGGTGTATAATATACATTTGGGAAGGTTTAAGATTGGACAGAAGTCACATAATAATAATGTTTTCTTATTTTGGGCCGTGTTAAGGACCTGCTGTGTAACTGATAGTTACTTTCTTATTGTGTAGCACCTATTTTTATTTTGTTTTCCGTAATAGTTATTGCCCTCTTTTTTCTAATTATTTTGGGATTTTTTTAGATGAGAAAAAGAAAGAAAGGAAGAGAGCCAGAGGCATATCTCCAATCGTTTTTGATAGAAGTGGAAGTTCTGCATCAGAATCCTACGCAGGTATTTCCTTTTGATTGTTTTTGATAATGATTATTATCACGTTTGTAACTTTAATACATGGACTAAAAATGCAATGATATAGAAATGTGTGGAAATTAGTTTAGTGTGAAGTTGTTAATGTCAGTTAGTTTTGATTTTTGGCATGTTCAATGTAATAAATTACTCTAAGGGAAACTAAGCTTTTTCCTGTATTATTTTAATGCTGTTCTGTTACTGCTTAAGTGATATTTTCACTTTTATTTTTCTTGGAAGATGATGATTCAGTGACTAGTTTTCTGAGTGTGCAACTGTTCAAATACATAGATAAAAAAAAAAAAACAACCAAAACCCACAAAAGAACTCCAAAAAACAAAACACTCGTGCACATTGAACAGTATTACTTTTGCGTGTGTGGGTGTGCAAGGAAGGATAATTTGTCATGAATGAGAATTATATGTGACAAGGCTGTAGAAATTGTGTCTTATCTCTATTAAGGCTCAATCTGAACAAATGTACTTTGGCTAAATACAGGTTCAGAAAAGAAGCATGAGAAATTATCATCTTCCGTTCGTGCTGTCCGAAAAGGTATCATTTAAATTTGAAAACAAACAAACAACTTTTTTAATGCATGCCGCATCATAAGTCATTGTTTTGCGTTGTCTGTACTTCATTAACAATTTATAAAGTAGTAATGTTCCGATATATTTGTAAAATTGATATTACTGTAAGTTTATATATAAACATCTTGATTTGTTACTACATGTGTTTTAGAACAACAGCAAATGTTTTCCCATCATCTTATGCTTTTTATAGGCATTAGAGTGATTTCTGTTCTCATAAATATACAAACCATATGTGGTATAATTAAAAACTTTTTTAAAGAGTCGTCTTTGGCACTTGGCAGAATAACAGTGTATCGGAACATTACTAAGTTTCCTTGGCTTTCATGTTTTTTTCATTTCTGAAGCTTTGCATTGTGTTTTCTGTTGCATAGTTCTCCAGGTTTGAGGGGGTTTTCATGATTTTTAAGAATTTAGTTGGGGTCTAGGGGGTCAACTAGAGTAAATTGAATTAAAAACCTGGTTTGATAATAGTTCTGTCTTAATAAATTTGGAATTTATTTTTCAGACCAAACAAGTAAACTTAAATATGTTCTTCAGGATGCAAGATTCTTCCTTATAAAGAGTAACAACCATGAGAATGTCTCTCTTGCTAAAGCCAAGGTACAGCATCAGTTCAAAAATTTTTTTCTATAATCTCTCTAAGCATGTGAACTTGACTTTTCTCTCTTGCAATAAAATAACATGTGAAATATGCATAAAAACTACTTAAATACAATTTTCATTGAAGATTATATTCTGAGCTACGAAGAGTAACAAAATCTACTCTATGTAATTTATATTGTAGCCATTTGTTGAAAACTACAAGTAGAAAGACTGTGCTTGCTGTTAAAGAACCTATGTTACTAAATGTTACTAAATATGTAACTCTTCACCTGTACCTTGTGATGAACAATGGTCTTGTAACAGCTGCCTTTTGTAAAATATTAAGAACGTTGCAGTTAGACTGTAGTTTTAAAAACTTAGAACAATTTTAGTAGGTGATGCTAGAACTGGAGTGAGGAAGACCTGAATTCAAATTTGGCCTCAGATACTTCTAGGTGTGTGACCTTTGAAAGGCAACTTAATCTTTATTTGCCTTGGTTTCCTCAGCTGTAAAATGGGCATGATAATAGTACCTACTTTCTGGGGTGGTTGTGAGGATTAAATGAGATATTTTTAAAGCACTTAACATAGTACCTTGCACATTATAGGTGCTATAAAAATGCTGCTATTCTTATTATATGCTGTTATCATCATCATCATTAATGGAAATAGGTTAAAGTAATTGGTGGGAATCTTATGATTATTTTAAAAAGACATCTTTTATATTCCAAAGGAGACTTTTGTTGTTGTTGTTATGTTTTGGGTTTTTTTGCTAGGCAGTGGGGTTAAGTGACTTGCCCAGGGTCACCAGGCTAGTAAGTGTCAAGTGTCTGAGGCTGTATTTGAGCTCAGGTCCCCCTGACTCCAGAGCTGGTGCTGTATTCACTGCCCCACCTAGCTGCCCCGTTTGGTTTTTATTAGGATTATTATTTTGTATTTGGTCCATTCAATTTCAAACATTTTGAAAATGAGATTTGTTAATAGATATATTTAAAAATAAAGCTTGTATATTTAAGATGAACAATTGATGGGAAATAAAGCATTTGTCAAGAATTGCCTTATTAGAAGAGTAGTGACTAATTTGGAAGTTAATAGAAGAATAGAATGAGTCTTTAAGGCCCACAGTAGATATGTCCTCCACTCCCCAATTATATTTTTCAGTTACTGGTAGAGTATCAGCTTTTTAAAGACAGGGACTATTTCTTTTTTACCTTTATATGTGCTTGGCTTTGTGCATTCAATTTATTACATGCTCAAGAAATGTTGAATAAATGGAGAATGCCTTTCAAAGGAACTTAGAAGGACAGTGTTATAGGAACTGGAAACTTCTTTGTTATTTTAATAAGTTCAATATTATACTTGTTTCATCTATGACTCTTAAAATTATCTCATTCATGGTTCCCAGGGATTAATTTTACAAAGCATATGGTAGGTATCAAGAGCTAAACTAAGAGCTTAAACTTTTACTTAAATGTTTCTGACATTTTTAGTCCTGGCCAATAAGGATTGATAAGGGCATATTGCATCAAGAAGCCAATCTGAGTATATCTAATGATCCTTCTCAGACTTAAGGGGCTAAGCTTAGGTAGTCACTAATATTAGAATGCCTTTTGTGTGAAAAGGAAGAAAGATGTGTGGGGTTCAACTGGTGCTCACTACAACTTTTTCCTCCAGAGACAATTTCATTAGAATGATGTATTAAAATGATTGGTTGTAGTGCCCTAGGAATGAGCTTTTTACATGATTGTGTAAATAATTTTAGGAGAAATACAGGTGTGTGTGTGTGTGTGTGTGTGTGTGTGTGTACGTACACATGTTTGTATGTATGTATACACACACACTCCTGTTAAGTAGACTTGTTATATGAACATTTGAATTAAATGGGTATTTAAAACACAAAGTACACAGTAAAAAAAAATTCTGAGCTAGCACATTACAAAATAGCTACATCTGAAAATTGTTCATTTACTTTAGAATAATCTGACTGTTATTAAACATTTAAAACATGACCAGATACTCAACTGCTTTCCCTTTTCCCTCCTTTAAATTTTTTTTGGAGGAGAGACACTTACAGGAGTTGGTTCACTGAGTAGGGGTATATTCAGAAATGAAGGTAATAAAAAACGAAAAATCACACAATTTTTTTTTTTAAATGAAGCTAGAATACTGGCTAAAGCTATTTTTAACCTTGGGTCTCTTAACTTCTTTTTAAAAAATATTTTAATAACTACATTTCATATAACTGGCTTCCCTTGCAATCTTGAGTATTTTCTTTCATGTATTTAAAAATATTATTCTATGAAGAGATCCATAGGTTTCACCAGATTGCCAAATTTGACTCTAAAAAAGGGTGGCTAGAGGAATTCTATGTTTGTGTTGTGTAATCCTTTTATGAATTTTTATGGAAATCCACCATAAAGTACATAATCATCATTTAACTTTTAGCTTAAAATTTTTTAATTTAATGTTCTTTATGTTATTTTTGTAGGGTGTATGGTCAACACTTCCAGTAAATGAAAAGAAATTGAATGCTGCATTCAGATCTGCAAGAAGCGTTATTTTGATATTTTCTGTAAGAGAGAGTGGAAAATTTCAAGGTAAAAAAAAATAATTTTGATTATAAGAGCAGCTTTTTTGGGTTAGCATCCATTATATTATTATTTCTGTTACTTAGGGTTTGCAAGACTCTCTTCAGAGTCCCATCATGGAGGATCTCCTATACATTGGGTTCTGCCTGCAGGAATGAATGCTAAAATGCTTGGAGGCGTCTTTAAAATTGACTGGATTTGCAGGTAAATTACAAACTTACATTTTAAAATTTAAAAGATTAAGTTTCTCTAATTTTTTATTAGCTCTTTTTAATGATTACAATGCAGACTCTCTGACAAAATTCTTTAATGTTAATTTAAAAATTATTACCAAATTATTCCTTCCCTGAAATTTCAGGGCTGATTTGGACAATTTGCTCTTAAGGAATACAGGGCATTCAAAGAATTTGTATGTATTGGGTTTAGTTAGAACTTTTATGTTTCAAAGACTTCCTTTATTAGTATGGGAGGGCATTATAAGACATAGACATTAAACATAGAGGAGACCTTACCTAGTTTAACATCTCTCTCCTCTCCCATTTTATAGATGATAACTGGCTAAGAGTTTCTTTTTGGGTACATAGGAGAACCAGAATTTTGAATTTATTTCAGAATTGTGATTTCAAAATTAATTGGTCTTCTGTGATTATGCATAGACCTGAGAGGCTTTCTAGGCAGTTTAGTATTCCCCCTTTTACCGATTAGAAAAGTTAGGCCCAGGAACTTGCCCAAGAATAACATATGGGTAGTAAGTTTAATAAAGGTGGAGTTTGAACCAGTTGTTCTGATTTCAGAGCTGGTATCCCAAAGTGATGAATGTTCTATTTTATTTCTTTTCTTCTTTTTTTTTCCTTTGGCTACCAAATTGCTATTCTGAATATTTTGTCATATATAGAACCTTTCTTGATACTTCACTTTTTGGGGATATGAGAGACTCATATTTTTAAGTAAAATTAAAATAGATGTCAGCTTTGTCATCATTTAATCATTGCCTAATATATTTTGTTATTAAGGAGATAAAATCTTATCGGATGTTGACTCCTTTCATTTTCATTGATCATTCAACCAAGAGTTATTTAATTTTACTATATAGTCAACATAGGGGTTTGCAGAAGTTTAAGAAGCATATAGTTATTATTTTTTAAGAACTGGAGGGAAAAGTGCCTCAGAAGTTATTCGAGCTGAGAAGCTGAGTGACTTGCCCAAGTTAAGAGTGATGGCAGAGCATGATTAGAATTCAAATTTGACAGTTCCTAGTCTACTGCTTTCTACTTTGTGATTCTTAACTCTAAAGGAGCTTAGTGACAGATATATAACACAATAAGAAAGTAGTTCATTTATTTATATTGCTAAGTTATGTGGCATATCAACATTATATTTAAGTTTACATAATTAAAGCATTCTATGTTCTGTATTGCTGAAATCCAGCCTGACAACTTGCCGCCCAACTATGGAGATTGTGATCACAACTTCTGCCCATTTGTGGATGGTGTTAAAAAAAAAAAAAAAAAACAAGCTAGGTACAAGAAAGCATTTCTGTCAAATGTTCTCAATCAGCTGAGTGATCTATTTTTACAAATTGTCATTATTTGTGAAATAATCTCCCTACATTTTTGTATAGTAAAAATGAGGGTTTTTATGCTTAAATCAGCTTACTATGGGAGTGAAATAAACTATTTTGTTTAAGGACCTTTACTAAGAACAATTAAATAATATGTTTGATGCTACTTCTATATTTAGGCGTGAATTGCCCTTCACTAAATCTGCTCACCTTACCAATCCTTGGAATGAACATAAACCAGTTAAGATTGGACGCGATGGACAGGTTTGTCAGTTTAATTGAAGCTTTTAATAAAGTTAAAACAACAAATGGTTAGTGTTTAAGTTCTTATTTTATAAGTCCTCATCAAAAGCCATTTTGCTTCATCAGTATTAAAGTATTCTTTTTTAATTCTGTTTTACGACTCAAAAAACAGTGTCTTTAAAATAATGGTACAAAGGAAAATAAGAATGAACAACACAAGCAGAAGTTTTCTTTTTTTAGAACTTAATGTTTGTTTTCATTAGAATCACAGATGTTAGCTAATATATTCCCCTTAACGTCATAACAACTGTGATTCTTTAGGTAGTACGGTCTGGAGAAACTCTTAAGAAATTGAGATTTGAGGTTTTTATCTTTTTGAAGCCTGGGAGCTGCTTTGCCTTTTTATAGACTTCTATGACACATAGATTCTATAGCTTCAAGTTTACTGACTAAATTGAAGCATTATGAAATGTATTTTAATACAAAGTGTGGAAAAATTCTTTAAAAGGTTATTTTTACGATGCCATATTTAGAAGTGTTCTTTTTACGATGTCATATTTAGAAGTGTTCTGAAGAGACATTGAAGAAATCTGTTGGTTTTAAATAACCAAAAATATCCTAATCATCTTCCTCATTTCAGAAACAAATAAAATAAGTATTTTCAGTCAGTGCTTAAACTAATAATATAGAAGTGAAAGTTTATGTTGTATTCACTCTGAATAATCTTAAGAGTTAATTGAAGAACACCAATTTACATTTTTAAAGTGTATTTCACTAGTTTATAATGTGAAAATTTCAGTGAAAAGAGATTATAATAAATACATGAGTTAAGTTGACCTTCTGATTTATGACTGCTGCTCATAAATTAGGTTATTAATTTTAGTTAATGGGATTATCATTTTTTCTGTGTTTGGACTCCATTGTAGGTGATAACTTTGACTTGGCATTTTTGTGTTTTGCACAAAAGGAGTATTCCTTTTTCTGCAACTGTGATCGTAACAATCAGTTATCAACAAAGAACTTTCTGTGCTACTTTAATGTGATGATCCCAACCAAGTATCTCCCCTCCATCAGTGGTCACCCCCTCTGTAATAACAACTGAAAAGAAACTCTTAAGAGCTGGCAGATTAATGGAACCACACTTGATCCTTAACCATGGGAATAAAGCCTCTGTCTCAACTTGTTTCTGTTTATAAAAACCTCAGGAAAATGCTACAAGTCTTTTGAAAGTTTATTCCTGTTTGCAGCTTGTAAATCGCTACTTTCCTATTCCAGGAAATTGAGCTTGAATGTGGAACCCAGCTTTGTCTTCTATTTCCCCCCGATGAAAGTATTGACTTGTATCAGGTCATTCATAAAATGCGTCACAAGAGAAGAATGCATTCACAGCCCCGTTCAAGAGGACGTCCTTCCCGTCGAGAACCAGTCCGGGATGTGGGAAGGTTAGAAACGTTCTTTGGACTGATAATAGGCACATGTATCAGAATAAACATGATGGAGGAATGTGATTCGTCAAAAGTTTGCCCTGCGGTAAAGAAGAGAGAAAATCCTCAAATCAAGCTGCATGGACTAGTTTGTGGCTTCATTGAGGATTTCACATTGTCACCTTGGTCTCAGTCATTTTTCAAGAGGAAAATGGGGATCTTTCCTTATGCAGAAAAAAATGTTTGCTAAAGAGTGATACCTAGTTTAGATAATTTACAAATAATACAATGTATAACATTGAAGTGAGGTGGGCTTTGATTTGCTATGAACAGGCTAGAATGGAGGAGGAAGCAAAAATTTATATGAAAAAAAGTTGTTAATATTTTGTAAAAGCCTTTTCTTTCAGGTGTGTCTCTGGATAAGCCTTATCAGATATGGGACTTTTATAAAGGATCACTAATAATTTTTCAGAAGATGGCGCCTCATTTAGAGGATAAATGTTTTAAGTTATTTTGATATTCAAGAGGAGCATTATTGGGACTGTTTCAAATTGTGTCACCGTGATGTGTTAACCCCATTGCCAAATGTTCTCTAACATGTAACCACTGAATTCATACATCTTGCTGAGCTTCTGAAAACAATAGGTTCTTTCCAAAGGGGATCAGATCAAGTGGCCCTGGGAGACCCGGCAACAACCCAAAAAGAATGGCTGTTGCTGTGTCTGTTTACAACCTTTCCAGATGCTGGCAGTACTCGCGGACTTAATATTTTTAGAGGATCGTCAAGGTTTATTGATCACTGCTTTATGAACTAAACAGCATTTTCCAGGAAAAAAGGGGGTATAACTTGTTACAGAATTGGAGAAGTCTTTGCAAAGGACTGATATAAGCCCTTCTACCAAACACCTTCCCCTGTAGCCACTTTGCATAAAGATAAATCTAAAGTTTTCTGCTAAAGACTGTTGGATGTGTGGTTTGATGGGATGAAACCTTTGGTTAAGTTTCCTTTTGGAGGAAACATCCTGTGGTAGGTACAGATATCCAACAAGAGCCCCTATTTCATTGAGCTTTAAAAGGACACTATCGAATAGGTAGGAGGAAACCTGGCAGAGCCCCCTTATTTTTGGCCTAAAAGGACTGAGCACCAAGATGTCTTTTGAAGTTTTAAACTAAGAGGTTTCCAGTGCAATAAAGTATTTACAAGTGAAGTTTTTACCTCAGTTTTGCAATGGACTGCAAACTATACATTTAACACCACCACACCTTCTCTCGAGCCTGCCAGGGCCTCCATTTATGTATGTGGCTTACAGCTTAAAGTCAGTAGTTGGACTACTATATGAACTGTTACTATCATGTTTTATACCGGTCGTAAATGCACTCCCCAAACTACAAGAAAGCGGTATGTTTATTCTTTACACCAGCTTTTAATTTTCTTAGTCATATTTACTGTAGATGCAACTGCTTTGTTCTGTTGGTGGGGGGAGGATTTGGGGTTTGTCAGAGGCTTAAACATTTCTTCACTTTTTTATTGCAGTTTGTATAAATATTGAGAATTGTTATGAGGGTGAAAAGTCAGTTAAATGGAAGCAAATGTTGGTCATTTTCCAGATGGTTGCTGAAGGAAAAAAAAAGTGTTAATTGGTTGGAGTTTAACTTATTGCCTTTTTTTTTAATATCAAGGAAAAATGTAGATGAATGAGTACAACATCTCATTTTGATGTCTGAATATTTGGATAAATATTAAGAGTTCTTTCCTTTTTTGCGGTATCTTTTAGAGTCACTACCTAGAAGTAAAACAATGTGTTTTGTAATGCCCTATAATAATACCATTGAGATTTAAGGGAAAGAGTTATGCTTTTTATTTTTGTCCCTAGGGACATCGAACACAATGAACTACCCATATTAGCTCTAAAATGTTTTCTTTTTGTGTAAAGGGCTAATGAACATAAATAAAATGTGGCCTTAATGACTGCTAGACACCTAGCCATAAGATAAGTGATCTTTCCAAAGGCTTTGAAGACAAATTCACTTAGGTAGTTTGTTTTTTGTTTTTTGTTTTTTTTTTGTCTTTTAAACCTACCCATGTTTTTCTGTTTGATCACTTAAAAAGAAGACAACCCTGCAAGTAAATATGCATGCACATGCACACATACTATACACATACTTTACATAATTTTTTAAAGCTGGTGTTTGAAATTACATCTGTAATAAAATAAAATAGGTGGTTTGAGGTATGTGGTGGTGGGAACAAAGGGTATTGAATTGAGATTTTATTTAGATTAGTTGTGAAAATTAATGTTGAATTTTCTTTGGCTCAGTTAATTTGACTTGTTATTTCTGTCTGAAATACTAAAATGTGACTTTACGTGTTTTGAGCAGGTTACTCTTTCCAAGTGTCTGGTCTTAGCATGAGACATCAGAATGACAAGTAGTTCTGCCTCCAGCAGTAAAGTTTAGGGTATGGTCTGTGATAATACTAAAAGCTTAAAGAAATGGAAGATTTAGAAACTTTAGGTCTACTCAAAGCTGACTAAAAATTGAGAAATGATCCCTAAAGGAAACCATGGCCTGATCTTTTTGCTTATTTCTGTCAAATATTCTGCTTTCCCATTTTGAAAACAGGTTTTGGTTTAATGTCTAATGTGTCTAATTTGTATAGGCGTCGACCAGAAGATTATGATATTCATAACAGCAGAAAGAAACCAAGGATTGACTATCCTCCTGAGTTTCATCAAAGACCAGGTTAATATCTTACAATCATGCAAATATGTTTGGCTTTTTAGAATTATTTTAGAATTACAGTGCTTTTACAACGATAAGAATTTAAAACTGGGAAAATACAAAGATCTGAATACTTAAATCTTAGAAATTCTTATTAGCATTTTTTCCCCTACTACCTTATCTCCCTTTGTAATTGGATTCAAAATTCAGAACCAATGCAGATCATTATTATATAGCTCGTATTAATTTTAATGCATTTAAGAATCATTTTAAAAACTGATAACTGTTTTGAGAGACAATGCAGAGGAATTTATAGTGAGAACTACTAGAATAAGATTGCTTCTCTATAAATGAGGGATGGACTAAGGAACCCTATAAAATCTTTTATGAGCTCAAAGCATGAAGTCTAAGACCTGTCTCTTTAAAAACTACTTAATATTTTAGACATTTGGAATAGTAAGAACAGATGGTTTGCATATTTTTTAAATGTTCCACTCTCCCACCCCCAAAGTAAAAGGGAATGGAGAGAAAGTAAATGCTTGGTCATTGGGAAAATTTTACTATAAAAATCCGCATTACAGTGTTGTTGTTTTCTTAAAAAGAATGGATGCACTGTATACAGTGCCACTTTTTGTTTTGTTTTGTTTTGTTTTATTTTGTTCCTAACTTGACATTCATTGGTATCTTGCAATTTCTGGTGAGAGGAAACTTTTCACAAAATGACAATCTGGGGCACTGAAAAAACTGTTGGATTTGAACCCAGTTCTTTTTGACTCAGTCTTGCTTCTTGATTTACTAGTTCACAGTCCGCTCTGTGCCTTGTTCTTATGCTTTATTTTTGTTTGTAAGAGGAGCTAATCCAGAAAATATAAATTTAGTCTACCAGGAAAATACACAATTTAATATGTATTCTTATTTTCTTGGCCTGAAATTTTTGAGTTCTTTTAATATTTCTGTTCTAAGATATGATTTCTTTTTTTTAATTGATAATTCTCTTAAATTTATCCATAGTATCTCTGTTAAGAAATTTGAAAAGAATGTCAAAACCCTCACTTTTATGAGCCATAGATTTTGTTAAACTCTGAAGAGCTGGGGCAGGGGGCTTATTGATTTTGTAGCCAACCCCCATTTTTACAGGTGAGTCAACCTAGGCCCACAAAGGTTAAGTGACTCCCTTAATGGAATAGAATTCCACTGTCAGTGGAAGAGCTATTATTAGAATCTAGTTCTCCTGTGTCTCAATTCATTGCACTTTATTCCTCCAGCTTTTTTTTCCTTGCATATCTTCTATTGAATTGGCAGGGTTTATATCTTTTATCTGCCTGTTCTTTTGAATTTGGATTATAAGCATTTGTGTTAAAGTTTGATTCAGGTATCTCCCATGCTAACCCTTAATATTATACCTACCATTGTTATGAACTGGCCATATGTTTAATATGAATCAGAACATTAATCTGAAAATGTATTCAGAAGCTTATCATTCTCTTAACCAGATATCTAATTGTTTTCTTACTATCCATAATACCAAAGACACTCAAGAGACAGTTTCAGATGCTATTGAAATTGCAATGGCTTCATTTAACCTCCAGATATTTTAGAGAGAATTAAAGTTGAGTGGAAAGGCAGTTTTATTGATGAATGTGCAAATTATAAATTTAATTTACTAAAATGCTTGATGTTTAAACAGGGTATTTAAAGGATCCACGGTATCAAGAAGTAGATAGGTAAGTTGGGTTTCTTTTGATTAATTTTCAGCAACATTCTGGGAACTAGTTTATGAATTACCCGAATTTAGTTTCACAAATCTTATTCCCAACAGACGATTTTCAGGAGTTCGCAGAGATGTTTTTCTAAATGGGGTAAGTATTTTAATACTTTAAATTTAAAACATGGGAAAATTTGGAATGTGGTTCATTTGCAGTTCTAAAACATTACCTTATTTAATATTAACTTTATGGTCTTTCATTTTAGTCCTACAATGATTATGTGAGAGAATTTCACAACATGGGACCACCACCACCATGGCAGGGAATGGTTTGTATTCTGTACATCTTGATTTCTTAAAAAATATTTAGCTTTAATTGCAGTGCTAATGCGCTTTTGGCAAAGATTGAATTTTATCAGTTAATTGAGTCTTGTACAAATGAAATAGACATGTTCTTTTTGGATGAGGGAAATAATTCCGTGTGACTTGATTTGACAAAATCAGATATTCCTCTACCTTAAACACTGAACCAGCTTTAATTTAAAGTTCATTGCTTCTGGTGATTTAAAAAAAAATGTTTTTAATTATGGTTTTAAGTTTAAGTTGTAGAAGATGTTTGAGACACTGTTTTTAGAGTAATTGAAACAACTTGTTTATTCAACCAGGGATATGTCTTGCTAGTGCTTTATGAAAATACCAGTAAAATTGGAAGATATACACTGAATACAGTTTGGAAAATATGGAACTTCAGTTTTTAGATCTTTGCTGATTTTTCTCGAGAAACTAATATAAAACCGGCTTCATCTGCTTTGTTTTTTCTTTTGATAGTGGCATTTTCATGCTGGTTCAGCTGTGTGATCTCCCTCTAAATACAAATGAGCAGTTCTGCAATTTATAATCTTAAAGAGTTGCTTGGAATGCTACAAGGCTAGGTAATTTGTTCAGAGGCACATAGTATTTGTCAGACTGGACCTGGACCCAGATTTTCATGACTCCAAATCCACTTATAAGGCAGAGGGCAGTTGGTGGTGCGGTGGATAGAGTGCTGGGCTTTTGTAGTCAAGAAGACCAAAGTTCAAATACAGCTTCAGATACTTAATTAGCTGTGTGACGTTGGCCACGTCACTTGACTGCTGTTTGTCTCAGCTTCCTCAGCTTGTAAAATGGGGGTAATAATTGTACTTTCCAGAGTTGTGAGGATCAAATGGGAATATTTGTAAACCGCTTTTGCACAATGCCTGAAACATAGTAGGCACTTACATAAATGCTAGCTCTTACTATAAGCACATTGCCTGCCAACGTGAGTTTTAAGTTATTTTAGTCATGATTATATTGAATTAGTTATGAATGGAGAATGGTCTAAGTACATTTGTAAAATTAAAAAAAATATGAAGTTAGAATTATAGTACTTATGAATAAGGTTAAAAAAGTTTTTGAGAAGTAACCTAGTATTTTGGAAAATAAGTCATGTCTTTTGGATACAAGTTAGGTTACTTTTTTTTCCTTTGAAATGTATATGCTAAGATGGAAAACTTAAACATATTATTTATTGAGAAGATGCTTATCAAAGTGTGTTTTCTGTTAGCCCCCTTATCCAGGAATTGAACAACCACCACATCATCCTTACTATCAGCACCATGCTCCACCTCCTCAAGCCCACCCCCCTTACTCAGGACATCATCCAGTACCCCATGAAGCAAGATACAGAGATAAACGAGTAGTAAGTGCACTTGAAAGCAAACATGTGAGGGGTTGGATGACTTTGAATTCTGTGGGTTGTGGGTAATTTGACTTTTGAGTACATCAGATTATATTCAGCAAGCCGTTTTATGTTTCCATTGTAGACTGTTCATAGTAATTCTTGTTTTTAGTAAGATAGATGACATTCAATTTCCCAAAGTGATTTTTAGACAGTGTTTTAACTGCTTAGACTAAGGTTAGTTCAGAATTTGTTCTATTCTTGATGGAACCTTCATTAAAGACACCTAATTTCTATTCTTTCAGGTTACTGTTTCTAAGCCTTTTTTAATGCAACAATATAACCAGCTTGCCGTTATGCTTACAGATAGGTTGGCACTAATAGAAATGCAGTTGATTTCAGCAAGAAGTAACAGAAATTTAGTTAGCTTGATTAGATTGTTTCATCATTTTTATGGGAAAATACTAAAAATTGTTGATATAGCCATAAATTAGGGTAACAAAAAAAAATAAAGCAGATATAACTTTATTCATAATAAATATTCTTTCTTCTCCATGTTAGTTGGTGAAGTCTGAGACTACCTCACAAGAATCCCCATGTTGAGTGTTATGTTAGAAGTCAGCCCCATTATGAGATTCCTGGGTTTTTAGGAGATAGAACCCAGGCAGTAAGGACAGTTTGAGTTTAATGTATTTATTATGTATTTGAAAATTGTTAAAAATCCATGGCATTTTACTTTGAAATGTTGATATTTATTCTGCCAAGGACAATATACAATACTTTTATGTTTATAACTGTGCCATTCTTTCTCTACAAAGGTGACAACCCTAGAATATCATCAGTAACACATGGAAAATGAAGTTTTTTTCAGTAGTTATAGATTTGTGCTGAGTCATTCACAATCCTGTATATCCCATTTTTAGTGGATTTCATCATAATAAATGTACCGTTTTTGGTTCAGCTTATGCCTGTCTTGTGTATTTGCATAAAAGTTCATGTGCACATTGTGTACAAGGCAAGCCAAGTTACTCTGTTTCAAATCTTTTGCTCCAGATATTCTTGTTGACCTTGTTGTGAAGGGAGGAAACCAGGAGACCAAACCTAGATAAGTGACTTGAGAGCTAGGAGGATAAGAATAAGAAGAACAGAAAAAGGCAGAAGGTTGAACTTAGACATACAAACATCTTGCTAAGTAACGTTTGTATTAATTTTCTCATGACTGGTCTCCAATCTTGTCTGGCCTTGACTTTTTTAAAAAAACTACTTTTTCTTCTTCCAGATCATCTTTTTGATTCTGCTTTGTAGTTCCACGGTCATTCCAAACTCCTGTTTGACTGTACCTTAAGCTCAAGGATTATTTGAAATTGTTCTTAGGAGGCAGCTAGGTGGTACAAGTCATAGAATGCTAGATATGAAATTATAGAGGCTCAAGTTCAAATTTTGCCTCAGATCCTTCCAAGCTGTGTAAACTTGGTCAGATTACATAATTTCTCACTTTTAGTCTTCTTATCTGTAAAGTAAGGATAATAGCTCTTACTTCCTAGATTTTTGTGACAATTCAAATGAAATGATATATGTAAAGAGCTTTGCAAACTTTGAAGCACTATATAAATGCTGGTGGTTGTTGTTATTGTTATTAATCTTCATGTTCTTTGTTGTCTTACCATTAGTAGTAGTAGGCTATCTTTGAAAAGCTTCATGGAGGATCTCAAAGATAAAAAAGTCTTGAGCTTTGTGTGAAGAAGGCACAACTGTAATTTGTGGCATAGTGGGTAGAATTAGATGAGAGAAAAAAACAAACCCAAAGTGTTGCGGACTGCAATATTTCACTTGAATTCAGTGAGGGAATTTGAGTGGTGGTAGGAGAGGATTGCTAGGTTATTTTTTTAAACCATAAAATTTGTGAAGACATATCATTGGATATGTTTCTTGAGTTTGAGTGGAAAATGGCATGAATGCTTTAGTAGTGGAGGTTTTGTATAATTCATCTCCAACGTGTGCTAGAAAGGAGGTTTCTCCATCACTTGCACATTTTTAATCCTATTTTTAGCAAATTGTCAGACATCAAGTTCCATGTTAAAAGAAAGTAAAAAGTTTCTAGAACCCTTCCCCTCAAAAACTTTTCCATAGATTAAAACATTATTATTTCTATCCCAAGTCTTCAGATTTACCTAAGTTTAAGATATCATCTTCTTTTCAGCATGATTATGATATGCGGGTAGATGACTTCCTTCGTCGAACACAAGCTGTTGTCAGTGGCCGAAGAAGCAGACCCCGGGAAAGAGATCGAGAGAGAGAGCGTGATCGTCCTCGAGATAACAGAAGAGACAGAGATAGGGATCGAGGAAGAGATAGAGAGAGAGAGAGAGAGCGATTATGTGATCGGGACAGAGACCGAGGGGAGAGAGGACGATACAGAAGATAATGTATCTTGAAGCACTGATTGTTTAAAAACAACAAAAAAATTCTTGTATTTTTTTTGTGTGTTTACAAGTAGTAAATTTATTTTCAGATGTCTACTTAAAGTTCATTGTGTAAAAGGTTTTATTATGACCCTCTTTGTTCCAAGCATGCAGTATATAAGAACTGGAAAAACTCAAATCAGCCAAAAAAATGCACAAAATTGACGCTTGAGTTGACACTTTTATTGGGGCAGAATGGAAAAGTCAAGAATGTAGATAATTGATTCATTCTCCATAAGTGTTCATCTGCTTATATAGTGTGTTTCTCTTAGAGTTTTTTGTTTTGTTTTTGTTTTTGTTTTTTTTATATTGATGGATAACTGCCATGATATTTTGCTTTGATGTTTTCCTACAAGTAGTTGCACACGGTTCAGTGAAAATAATGCTGCTATCAAGTATGCAAATATTGAAGTATGATGGTTTGACTTCATGGCAGTGTTATAGCAGCCTCTTGTTTTCTTTTATTTTCCTTTTTTTTTTTTTAAATTCTGTAAAGTCAGTCACATTTTTATTTTTTTTTTCAGTCTTCAATGATGAAAGCAATATTAAGAAGACATTATTGATATCTAATTTTTAACCCTTTTAAAAAGAATCTTCCTATGTTCAGTAGCATTTTGGTCAATGCTATTGTTTAGCTTTCTTCTCCAAAATGTATTGGCTTGGAATGTTCACAACCTTCGTGTATGGCAACAGAAGAAACTCCTGTATTCTACATTGCTACCAGTTTTTTGTTTTGTTTTGTTTTGTTTTTGCTTTTTTTTTTTTTTTGTAAAAAAATAAATTGGTAAAGATTGACACTTCTGTTGTGTTTATTTCTTAGCTTTTTGAAAGTTATTTTTTAACATTAAAAGAATATAGCTTAGAGGCTAGATTTTCTAAGTTTGCTATTTTAATTTCCTGTATCAGGAACCTTTTCTTGCCTTTTCTGTTTCCAACACTAGAAATGTAACCCAGGCTATTTCTTTTATCTGCCAAGATATGGATTACTTTCTATTTCAAGTTTGATGTGTTTTGGAAAACTGCTGCATTGTAGACTAATGTTCAGTATGTTCCCAAGATAGATGTAACTTTCCTCCCTTGCTTTTGTAAGTACAATTGCTTAAAACTGTTTACTAACAGACCATTCTAATTTGTCAGATAATTCCTTTCCATTTTCCATATTCTGAATTTGTATTAACCTCTTGACTTGACAAAAAAAAATACATACTTATGTTGCACTTTATTCGTAATTGAGTAATGTAGTGCAAATATTCTTGTCCCTCTTTTAACAAAATGTAGAAACACACTCAAAAGAATTAGTCATTACTAGCCCAAGGTCACAAAGCTAATAAACTGTAAGTCTTCAACTTGAACCTTGTTTTCTGACTCCATATCCTGTGTTCTTTACACTTAAATTAACATTCTTGCCTTTTCACTCCTACTGATGGTATTAATAGTTTTTGTTTTTAATTGTCAGATTTCCAGTGCTCCAGTCACATTGACAAATGAACAATTTTTTTTTTCTTGGATAACTATTGGTCATCTAGTTCAGTGGTATCAAACTCAGAAATGGGGTCACTAAACTATCTCTGTGGGCTGCATGTTGACTTAGTTATAAATTTTAATATTACTTGTTTTATTGTGTTTATTTTGTTAAATATTTCTGGATTACATTTTAACCTGGTTCAAATTCCACTCATGAGAGTTGTAGGCTGATTATTGGGTACTTGATATGTTCTACTTTTCATTTCCCAGATAATTTCCTGAAGATAAAAGAGGGTGTCAGGAAGAATAGAATGCTCTTGTACTGTTGAAATGCTAAAAAGCTGTCAAGAAATAGGTGGGCAGCAAAAATGTCATTGGATTTAGCAATAAGATAAGAGCTACTTTGAGGAGAGCTGGTTAAAAAGCCAATGAGGTTAAATGAGAAGCCCATGAAGCTCTGGGAACAATGAGCTCTTTTTAAAAATCTGGTGGCATGAGAGGAAGAAAGGGCAGTAAATGGGTGGCAGGGTTGATGCAAAAGTTTTTACATTTAGAACATGGAGAGCCAGGGATATGTTGATTCCACTTTTTTTTGTTTTTGTTTTTATCAAAATTGCTGGTTCTTGGGGACAAAAAGGGTAAGAGATACTGTCTCTGTTATGGAGGCACTTTAGGGATTTTGAACATTTTAGGAGGGCTTTCAAGGTTCATAAACATACCTCTGGTTCTTTTGTCTCTTCACAAGCTTAAAGCTTCCCATTTCTTTGGCATTACATATTCATTAGTTATGCTCAGGGTTACTTTAGCTTAAAAATGGAATGGATTGTCCTTAGCAGAAGTTGGAAGAGAAGCAAAGGTGGAAAGAAAAAAGCATTTATGTGAGGAACTGAGTGGAAAGGATTCAGTTGTGAGCAGTAAGTAAGCAGAAGGGGGTTAAGTGAGTGTATGTGATTAGTGTTGGGAAGGGAAAGGAAAGGAAAGGTTAGTTTGTAATTGTCTGTGTTGGTGTCCAAGTAGCCTTACCTTCTCCAGAGCCTTGAATCATTTTGAAGCTAAACATGTTGGGTTTCTACCCGTGCTCAAAAACCTTTGTTTGAACCTGTTATTAAGTTAACTTCCCCTATTTCTGTCCTTCACTGTCAAGTTTTTAATATATTAAGCTTATGGCCCAAACTCATTTTCTCACCACCAGTCATTCCAATCTTTTATGACCATGACCTTTCCCACCCTTACCAGCTCTTTCCAAAGTCATTAATTACCTCTTTGCTCAGTCTAATAACATTTTCCTCCCTCATAGTCCTTGTACTTTTCTAGATAGCTTCACTTTTCCTGGCTTCCATTCTCTTACCTCCCTGACCATGTTTTCAGGTTCTTGCTGACTCCTCCTGTTAGTATTTGTGGAGTGTTTCCTTAATGTTTTGTTGTTGGCCTCCTTTGTATGTTTTCCCTTGGTGATTTCATCCCTCATAGGTTTAATTATCACCTCTGTGCAGATAACTACCAAATCTATATCTCCCAGCTTCTTCCCCACAGCTTTACTCCAGTATTTCTGACTGCTATATATGGCCACTTGAATGGACTGACTGGTCTCTCACTCCACCCTCCTATCCCCATTTAGCAATTAAAAAATAAAAATAAACCATAACAGACATGCATACTCTAAACGTGCATGTTTTATGATCCAATGAGTTATTTTATTCATCAGTAAATTTTTGTGACACTTTTTCCATTTAGCCGATTGTGGTTTTTTTTATTTTCGTAACTATTTTTGTACCTCTTTTACCAAACTGTTAATTGCCTTTTCTTGTGTTTTTCCTTTATTTTTATTTGTTTTCCTGATTTTTCCTCTACCATTTTTATTTAATTTTGAAAATCATTTTTAGCACTTCCAGGAATTCTTGTTGGGCTTGTGTCCAATTCACATTCTTTTTTGAGAGTTTATTTGTGGACATTTTGACTGTCTTCTTTTGAGTTTGCATCAATCTTCCCTGTCAACATAGTAGAATTTTAAAGTCAGGTTCTTTATTGTTTGCTCATTTCCCCACTCTATCTTGATTTGGAACTTCTTGTTAATGTTGGGCTCTGTTCCCAGCTTAGGTGGTGGGAGGAGTTGCCTCAAGCGCCAGACTTTTTCACATTGTTTTCCCGCATAGTTTTCTGAGCTGTTTCTGGGAGGGGTTGGAAGTTTTTTGAATTTCCAAGGCATTGTGATCAGGAAGATCTTCTCTGCATTCTGTTTCTTACCCAGAAAGGGCTCCTGATGCTTTGCGATTGCAAGCAATCCTAGTTTTCAGGGCCCTTTTCCCTTTGAGACCTTAGGTGGTACTGTTCCTCAGGATCCCTGATTCCTTTGAGCTGAAAATGATATTCCCCCTCAGGGCTTCCACTCCCTCTTGACTGAAAATACACCTCTCTGGACTTGATTTAGAAATGGGTATAGGCAACGGAGATGCCAAACAGTGCTAGCCCAGTAGTACGCTGTAAACTCCTTCTTACCAGTTGCCTAGTCCCTTTACTGTCTCTGGATTGAGAGCTCCCAAAGCTGCTGCTGCTTCTATCACCAATATTTAGTCCAATCACATGTGTTTTATCCACATGGGCTCTAGGCCAGCCTCCTCCCCTGTGTCACAGATAACTTTTTTTTTTTTAACTTCTATGTTGTCTTAGGCTGGAAAAATATCTTACTCTGATCTTTTGTGGACTCTGCAACTCCAGAATTTCATTTGAGGAATTATGGTGGTTTAGAGGCGAATGTTTAGGAGAGCTCAGTCCAGTGCCTTCTCTGCTCCACCATTTTGGCTCCACTTTCCTGGTATTACCAAGTTGGGAGGCTGACTACTTCTTTACCTTTACCCAGCCCCCTTTCCTGTCTCCCCATGACTGCTAGGGGTTCCAGTCAGTATTTGTAAAAAGCACTTTGAATAGTGCCTGGCACATAGACACTACATAAAGGCTTACTCCCTTTCCATTAAGTGTTCTCAACTCATGGTTTATCCAAAGTTCTTTTTCTTTTTTGTCATTATATAATTTGGTTTAGTTCTGTTCACTCTGCATTAGTTCATAGATGTCTTCCTAGTTACCCCTGAAACTCCATTTTTAGTTGTTTTTAATGGCAAAATAATGTTCCATTATATTCATATATCATTAATTAGGCATTACCCATTAGATGGGCTGGGCACCCCCTTCATTTTTAATTTTTAGCTACTGCAAAAACCTATATTTTTGTACATGAGTTCTTTTTTTCTCTAATCATTTTGGGGTGTAGGCCTAGCAGTTTAATAATGGGGCATGGTTCCAAATTGCTTTCCGTGGTGACGAATTTCATGGCTATATAAGCAGCAGTTCATTAATGTGTCAGATTTCCGTTAGCCCTTAAAAAAATTTTTTTTCCTCTCTTTTGTCTTTGCCAGTCTAATAGGCATGAGGTCCCTCAAATTTACTATGACCAAAACAACTCAATAGCTTCTCACCCTCCCACCCCCAACCCTACCTTTGCCCTAATTTCTGTGGATTATAATGATGACTAATATTTATTTGATACTTTTTATTTGCAAACCTGTTGCCTCCTCACAGCACTGAAGTACTATTAACTCCGTAAG